GAGAGATCGATGCAAGAGAGAGTATGAGTCCGAAGATCAAAATGGGTCGAGTACCTCTATTTAAAAATGGAGAGGGTGGGTAGCAAGAAAAGCCTTTAACTGAAGGGCCAGGGGAAAATCACAGCGAGACCCCCACAGAGGAAATGATGGGCATTAAAATCACCAAGTAACAGAAGTGGTGGCAGTAATGATGAAACAAGAAAGGCAATATCTGGGATAGATAATGCCCGAGAAGGAGAAGATACAAAGAACCCGGTGTATACCACCTATGCAAGTGGATTTCGGGCTGCCGTTTTAATTGCAGCGAAGTATGAACAAATAGCTGATGGTACAGAATATCAGTGTGTAGAAGAAGGGCACTTTCATTAAAGGTTTCCCCTCAGGAAAAAGGGTCTGAAGAATACAATAAAAATTTCAGCCTGAATAGGATAGAAACGGCAGAGTGTAATTTTGGTTCCTGTAAAACAAACACCAACAGGGGGAAAAATGGGAGAGCAACATCTGAAGCTCACCCCGATTACCCAAGGCCGCGAATATTCCACTGTAAATAGGCCATGATTGGCAATGATAAAGATACCTGAAATCCGCAGGTAAGGGTACCTACGGACTAAAGGGGGTTAGAAAAGTCCACATGCGGTGGCAAAGGAAAACGTTCAAGTAGCGAAAGCGGTGCATTGTGAAGAAAGGAGTTGCGCAGATGGAGAAGAGGAAAGAGAAGGAACAGAGGGTGGATCACTGCCCATTGATGGTTTGGTCTCTGCAATATATTCAGAGATTGCTTCAAGTGTTTCGGAGTTCAGAGACGTCATATGGGAGACAATATTGGAGATGGAAGGAGGAGGAGTTTGAGTAAAGATCGGAGCTATAATGGACTGTACCAAGGTGGGGGGGGCGAAAGGGTGGAGGGAAATGGAGAAGTGTGGGAGAGGACAGAAGAGGCAGAAACCTGGGAGGTGGCAGAAGAGGAAGAAACTTGGGAGGGGACAGGGGAGGAAGGCACAGTACGAGGAGGAGGATGAACCTCCACACTTGTAACAGAGCCAGTGAAAAGGGAAGACCCAGGTACAGAGACCGGGAAGGTAAAATGTGGAGGTGGATGAAGGGAAGGAGGGGTTAAAGGAGATTTTTTGGGCCTCTGAGAAGTAGAGGGACAATTGGGAGGTGGTGTCGTATGAGGTCTTGTCGATACCAGGGTTTGTGAGGGAGGACACGAAGAAGTAAGGACAGACTGAGGAGTTGAATCAAGAAATCGTAATGACACGATTGCAAACAAACCATACCCCTGGCCGGGATTGAACCCGCGGTCATAGAGTCTCAAAACTCCAGCCCGTCGCGTTAGCCACTAAACCAGCTAGCCACAATAAGATTCATCCAACTAGGTATATTTCTACACAATAGGAACCTTCCTATGGTGTAGAAATATACCTAGTTGGATGAATCTTATTGTGGCTAGCTGGTCTAGTGGCTAACGCGACGGGCTGGAGTTTTGAGACTATGACCGTGGGTTCAATCCCGGCCGGGGGTATGGTTTGAGTTGTTGAAGTAGGGACGTCTGAGCCCAGGACGGCAAAAGAATTAGATACAGGAGTGACTATGGGACTGGCAACCACAGAGGAGGCTGCAGAAGATGTGACCCCAGAAGTGGGGGGACGCTTTGAAACACGAGAACAAGAAACACGGGGCAGTCTCCCTTGGAGGCGGAGATGAGAAACCGCCATAGCATAAGGGAGACCTTCTGCCTCTGAGGCAATGAATTTCCCGCTCATTTAAGTAGACTTGGCAATGGCGAGAGTACGAAGGGCGAGCCTCATGACAATTAAGGCAAGAGGGAGTTCGACTGCAAGACGTATTAGAATGGTCATCGGCACAACAGACTGGGCATTCGGCTATAGATCTGCAATATTTTGCTGGGTGGCCAAATCGCCAGCAATTCCTACACTGTTGCGGTGTAGGGATCAACTTCCGAACTTGTAACCGATGTCCTGCTACATAAACAGAGGATGGGAGTTCACGGCTGTCAAAAGTTAAACGAGCCACATTGCAAGGGTATCGTCTTCGTCCGCGGGCAGGAAGAACATAAGTGTTTACCTTGAGAATTGGGAGATCTTAGAGTTCCAGCTGTTCGAGAATGTCAGTGCCACATGTCTGGAAATTCTGTTGGACTATGGTATGGGGCAGAATAACAGTACCACTACAAGAATTGAGGGAATGATGTTTTTCAATAGTGATAGGAATAGTATCTATATGTGAAAGAAGAGAAAGATCATGAGCTTGGGTAGAATTCTGGACTGTGATGATGCATGTACCACTCTTAAGAGCATGAAAGGAAATATCTCTACCAACGTGGCGTAGGAGCGCTTTGCCAATACTATGGTCAGAAAGATAGGCAGCAGAAGAAGTCAGTCTTAATGTAAAGAATTTAGTCCATTGTGTGGTCCGAAACTGAGTGAGGAGAGGGAGTGCATGAAGTGTCGGTCTTTTCCGAGTAGAATGGGAGGGTAATGAAGTAACATCATTAGGAGACTGCCGTTGACGTTTAGAAGTGGGACCAGAGTCTGTCCGACGTGGGACGGGCTGGCGATTCGAAAATCGCCGCACCGTAGAGGGAGAAGCCGGAAGCATAGTCAAAGGAGAGCGGAGGTCAGACAAATCGAAGGAGTCAGTGGAAGTCCCAGTACCTGAAGCTGGTGAGGAAACAGCACCAGCAAGAGGTACAGGGGCATTAGGAATGTCCAAAGAGTGGCCAAAAGATGAGGCGAGGTCAGAACGGGGTGCGGTAACAATAAGGGGCCTGGGGGTAGCGGGATCAGGGATCGGTTAGGTTACTTTTTTTTTTTTCTTAAAAACAAAAAGAAGAAAAGAAAAGAAAAATAAAAAAAGGGGGGACCGGGGAGGGATAGTTCCTAGGAGGAATGAAAGGGCCAGAAATCTCCCTCTGCGCCCAAGAGGACCTCAGCACCACAAGTAGCGCAGATGCAGCATGGAACCTGTGCCATACCCTACCCATCATGCCAGTAAACCAGCAATCCAGGATAGCAACCTCACATCTGCTGAGCTACCTTGGTGGACAAAAGAGAGGGCGGCTGGATATCCGCCACAAAACATACCTCCTTCGACCACCACCCCTGGAATCCGAAAGGTGGCTTCCAGAGATACACCCGTCGCCTGAAAGACACCAAAAGCCACCCTCCGGAATACCGGAGGGGGATCGGGACATCCCCAGGCAATCCAGATTCCATGGCAAACTACGCCACCGCCAAGAACCTCAATGGAATGGGATGGACCCCGGTACCCTTTCCCCTACCTAGGAACTAGTGCGCCTGTGGGAAAAAAAACCAAAGGCCAAAAAGGAAGGGCAAAAGGGAGGGGTGGGAAGGAGGAGGAAAGGAAAAAGGGGAGGATGGGATAGGGAAGGGGGGATAATTAGGTTCGGTCTGAGGAAGGAGACCGACAGGTCTAATTCCTCAGACCAAGAGCCTCTTCACCACGCCAAGGAGCTCCCCTTGAAGAGGGGAGGTAAATAAAATTTTGTAAGTGAGCGGGCTGGGACATTCAGCAAGTTGTGTGAGAGCATGTTAGATAGGAATGAAGGCAAATGCTTTTCATGACTTGACGTGTTGTTGAAGTGTGAACAAGGTAGCATTCATAAAGTGATTCAAGGGAAACTAGTTAGCCAGACTTGGGTCCTGGAGATGGAAAGTACAGTGCCTGAACTTTAAAGGAGGGGTGGAGATATTGCAATTTGGAGAGGCATCTGAAATGTATTATTGGCGCACCTGTGACAAGACAGTGATGAGTGAATGATGATGAAAGTTTCCTCTTTTTTGGGGTCACTACCTAGGTGGGAGAACTCTGGAGTGTTAAAAATATATATAAAATCAAACATGCACACAACCATACATGCACACAACCATACATGCACACATTCACTTATACAGTAGACCCTTTAATAACACGTATTCGAGCAACACATTCTGAGTAAAACGGTGAAATTTTTGTGGGTCAATTTGAAGTATCTTATGAGGATGACCATACAGCACGCCATAAATTTATGGCAGTGTATGATTGTGCACTGCCTTCTAGCAATGGAACTGCACTGTAATTACACTTTTCTATGCTCTTAGCAGTAATTTACTTAATATAGCTATATAGAGTTGATGAATGATGATGATTTGATAATAAACTTTTGAAAATATAATTAAATGAATAAGTGAAATAATGATCTTGCAGTGCCACTGTGATAATGGTTTGTTTGGAATTTAAAGAACCACTAAAGCACATACCACATTGTTCCAGTACACTATTGGGAGCAAGGTTCATACACCTTTTATAGTGGTAACCCCTAATAACCAACAGCCACCTTCCACACCAATATATTACTGTACAATAATACTGCATTATTGTTGGCTATTTTTCTCTGAAATACATTTATCTTTAGTGTATGTTTGGTATAACTATGGCGAGTTCCTAAATGTCTGGTACAATGTGGCAAGGGAATGTGGCTTGTGGTGACAGCACCTGATGCTCCCTGCCCTATGTTTGTGCAGAAATTATACAAGGCCACATCAACTCTTCTCACATTTCCAGATCAACAAGAAAGAGCTATTACTTTTTTTTTTTTTTTGAGGTCTCAAAAACATAACCCTAATTTGTCCATATGTTTTTCTGTTTGCTTAACAATTTCAAATAACAGTTCTTCAGGAATGTGACTCCTGTGTTTGAAGGTCTACTGTGTAAGATAACAGAGATAAATGTGTATGTATATATTTGCATGTATGCACATATATACATGCATATTTGAATGTATATTTGTGTTTGTATGCATGTGTGTATATATATATGTATGTATATATGTATATATGTACGTATATTATATATGTATGTATATATGTATATCTGTATGTATATACATGTGTAATAAATTATATATATATATATATATATATATATATATATATATATATATATATATATAATATATATATATAATATATGCCTATTATATTATTGCATGTGAAGACAGTCTTCATATGAGTGGTGTTACATTATAAATACTGTACTGTATGTATCTATTGTATATTTTTGGTTCACACATTATATATACAAATATTCAGCCATATGCTTAACATTTGTAACTATTAACTGTAACATTTCAGGCATTGCCAATAGTGAATTCAATACAAAATACTGCAGTCATTAAAACCTTCATAATACTGTAAACAGGAAAAGGTAATGTATGGTAGTAACTACATAAAAAAAGACCTCTTAGTTTAATTATGAATTATGTGCTGTACTGAAACAAATTCATATGCAACAATATTTTCAGATTTTCTAGTTTCTTCTGAGAGAAATACCTGAAGACTCTAGCTCTTCCTGACATGAGATGATGAACATGAATTGATGACTATGTTGGTGAAATGATGATGACCTGAGACTGGAGGTGAATATTATTTACAATTCTGAGTCCTACACTACTCCTGCTATCACTAAGTGATGCTGGACATTGTTTTGATACAAGACAGTGACCTGCTGAATGCACCACCTTGCCTGCTCCCCTACAGTGAAGGTGGTCCACTACTAAACTGCAATCATAATATTCCCGGTATATTTTGCTTAGAAAAATTAATGAAGATTCCATTTCAGGTGTAGCCAGTGTTCACACTATATAATAGTGATAAATTGACTTATTTTAAGACTACACTATCTTTACAAGACATTCTTGTTAAAGAATGAGACAGCTTGTACAATATTTTGTAAATCTCTACTACTGGTATCTTCAGTGTCTGCACACCAGGAATATTATGATTACAATGTACTAATCTAGCATATTCTACATAATGAATTATGGTATGAGCTTCACAGCATAACATTTTATACAATAAATTCCTTCACAGTTATAAAAAATCTCTTACTGCCTTAAAAACCCAAGAAAATTAAATACATGTGACTTCTTACTGTTAAGAATGAGTAATGTACAATAACAAGGACACAACAAATTTTAGTGATGTTATATTATCTGACCAAGGCAAAGAAGAACTATTCTAAAAAAAATGAAGAGGTACATTTGGCATATATAAAATAGACATTAAAAATATTAATTGTCCGATTATATATAATTTGAAGGTAAAGATAAAATTGTGAAAGGATGAACATGGTCATGCTGGGTGTTGCAATGCACACAAAATAAGTGAAATTTTTGAATTATTGAGAACTTTACACACAGTGCATCTTGACTTATTTATGGCCAACGATTAACTGGGACACTTGAATGCCAATTAAGCAGGACCTAGTTAATCAGATCCTGGCTACAAGTTGGATACTGAGATAAACACTGCTTCATACATGTTAATATCTTGAAATGAAAGTAACATGTAAAGGCAAAGTATCCCATTGGTCATAATTATAACAATGTACTTGGTCCTTTAAAAATATAAGTTAGGCATATTGAGGGATTATTAATGTATAAATACTCCTTATTTTACATGGAAAAACTAATTACATAAATAATTCAAATGAAATAGGAAATTCTTGTAATTATATATTTTATAATAAAATTAATTAGTGCAGTATTTAAATTTTCTTTAGGAATATTGGTATAACAAGGCAGTACCATGCAGTAACTTTTGTCCTTTATGACATTCTATCCGAGACCTCACATGGGTAAACAACTTATCGGAGATTGGTATACAGTATCTTTCCAAAATGTAATAACAAGAACATCGAAGATACATTGACCTGATAACTCGGCAGTCACCTAACACTGTACAAATAGATTACATTTTTGCCAAGAGTAACGAAGTATGCTTTCATAAGTAAAACTATAATTATGTACATTATTATACAATTACATTATTATTAATTTCTATTTTTGAGGTGATCTTTAAAAAGCTGGTGCTGATATTTTGGCACGTTTTATCTATTAGAGAAACCTAAATACAGGCTAGAGAGGAGTGTATCTGTCAAGTCTCATGGCTCACAGAGAACTGGTTGAAGGGCAAGGCATTCTGAACTGCTCTTGTACCCAAAAAATTATCTGGCTACTTATAGAAAGTTCATTTTAAGGCAAAAGGCTGATTCCCCATGAAACTTGACTCTGAAAGAGCTTTTGTAGACTAAGGCATAAACAAAATCTTTGGCACCCTACAACAAAGCTAACAAACTGGCAAATAACTCTACTTGCATATCGTTTTGCGATGGTTCCATGCTCATGTGCAGGGATAACGATAGGCAATAATGCCAAAAAAAAAATATTGAGTATATGACCTTGGAGACCTTGAAAAAGAGATGTAGATTTTTTCATTATTTTGGATAATATAATATAAACCTTCAATTAATTTTGCTATGAAAGAACTATACAATATGTTATCTTACCTCTTTTTCAAGACCATCTCAGATTTATAACTTTTTAAAGGTTTTCTATAAGAAAACCAATGGTTGTATTTGCATGATATTGTGAGCCTAACAGCAATTGCAAGAGAAAAAGCAAATTGCATATACATATGTTGATAAATGGAATTTGAAATTAAATATTCCATGGTGAAAATACTTATGTACAATAACAATGGGAAATATCAATGGAAACAATAGTAAAAAATGATTTCATCTTTGTCATAACACAATTAATCTGGTCTAAAATTTGACATCAAATTGAGACACGTGCCAATAATCAACATGACAAAAATTTCAGGAACATATTGAAATGCTAAGTTGTAACATTTAGAGCAACCAAAGTGCTCCTTCTCTTCTCCTTTGGGTACTCGTAGCGCATGAAGCCTCACAGTTGGGCTTACAGGAATAGACTGGGTTAATGCCAGTCAGGCAAGGGTAACCAAGAATCACGCATGTTGAGCTTGGTCACAAAATGTAAGCAAGAATCTATGTAACTGTTAGCCATCAGCTTTCAACTAGAAGACTATCAGCTATCATTAATGGCCAACACAGTCGCCAAGAAGGTGTTGGCATGCAGCTGGGGGCACCGGTTACATTGGGGGGGAGCGTCAAGGTGGGCCCACAGAAGGCTTGCGTCAGCTGGCTTCAGTGTTTAGGGCTTCTGTGGAGCCTTGAGAAGCATGAGGGGAGTCATGGTCGGCAACCTGATGGATCTGTACAGACACTAAAGATGGGTTGGAGGCCCCTGAAGTGGCAGAAGTGGCAGAGGCTCGAGAGGCGCGGCGTGAAATAGGGAAGAAGAAGAGAGACCCACGGGGAGATGTTGAAACCTCATTAACAGAGGCACGGGAAGCACGACGTGAGCTTGATCCTCCTCCATCCACCTGTAAAGATACAGTACTGTAGCAGCACTTATAAATGTATTCCTTGACTTGACCCCACTTACTACAGATTTTGTCTTCAATTATCAAAGCATTCCCAATTCGATACAGTATTCCTATTTCATGTCAGTGAATGCTTTTTTTTTTATATCTATTCATTCTTATAACAGTATCATACAGTATATTAAGGTCATGTATGTGTGTGCATGCGTGTTATACACAACAGACTGTTGATCAAGGCGTGATCTAGGATGCTGAAGAGCTGGCAGATTTTCAATCATGACATCATATTTATGGTGAAAATATAGTAACAACTCTAAATGTGTACAAAAAGGCTAGTATCTGACACTTTCACTGTAAGATCATTCACTTTCCCCTAGGGTATTTAACAAATGGTGAATAGGAAGTGATTGATATAAGACTGAAAAGCAAGCAATCCGTTATTGACAATTGAAGCCTTTCTGAATGGCTTACACTTCAATGAACAATGAGACAACCCAACTTTTACACAATCTCAAAAACCATAGGGAAAATTACCATGGGAGAGAAGTCAGACAGATCCGAGAGTCATAAACTTCTAAAGCGCTGGCCACTGGGCCAGCTGGCTACAACAGGATTCATCCAACTAGGTATATTTATACACTACAGGAAGATTAGCATAGGCACCACTGACCACAAATGCAAGTTTTCTCTTCTGTACCAAGATTCCATCATGACTACTTTGAGGGGACTTGAGCTAGAGCTAGTCACAGCCACAGTGGCAGGAGATTTGTCTGTAAAAACTTGCACCATACCTTCCTATGGTGTATAAATATACCTAGTTGGACGAATCTTGTTGAAGCCAGCTGGCCCAGTGGATAGCATGTCAGTCTGGAGTTTTATGACTTTCTGATCACGGGTTCTATCCTCGCCCGTGGTATGGTTTGTTTACAATTGTCTCATTATGATTTTGCGAGAAATAAGGTACAAAGAAAATGAAGGTCAGACTACACAAGAAAACCTCAATACAGAACTTTACTGGACCAGCCAGGGTATAGACTGGAAAACTAAATTAAATACATAGTAAACAAAAATTTAGGAGCTAACAGTTTCCTTAGCAAAAACTTCATCTACTATAGTGCAGCGATATATTTTCAAACAAAGTAGTATATTATAGGAAAAAAGATATAGCCAACAATAAAAAGCCTGATGAGAAACAACTGTAGTACAGTATGTTCTCATATAAAACTCCTCTTATTGCATGATTTTTTTTTGTGTAAATGCAATAGAAAAAAGTACATCCACAGTTAAACAGCACAGGGAAAGGCCTTCATATTATGTTCCACTCAATTTTCTATGCACTTTCTTCAATCATATGTAAACCTAGGCATACCTCGGTAATATGGCACTTTACAATTATATTCAAGTACAGTAGGGCCCCACTTATGGCAGGTTAGGTTCCAGGCTACCACCATATAGCAGAAATCGCCATTAAGTGGAACGCCCTTGTTTTCCACTTATACAGAAAGGGAGGGGAATGATTTTCTATTTTTTAGCTAACATACGTGTAAATTTTACAATATTCCTAGTAATGACCCTCGTGTTGTAGATAGTCTTAATGACCCTCGTATTGTAGATAGTCTTAATGACCTTGGTGTAGTAGATAGTCTTTTTAGTATGATAATAAGATGTTATCTTCATTGTAGAATAATAAGAAAATATTATAACCTTTATATTATAATAATAAGGTAAAAGGACCCCAATGGAAATAAGTCACTCTGTCTGACTTTTTTGGGTTATCCCAGGTTCTCTACACACATGCTGCTATGTATGATAATTCTATGTAACTGTATTTGTGTATACCTGAATAAACTTACTTACTTACTAAATGCATATAAATGCTATATAACAAGTTTACACTAACATGTATTAAGTTAGCAATAGATCTAGGCATTAAAAAACAATAAAAAAGTAAAATACACAGAGTACACTCATTACTTACCTTAAAATATTTGTAGTCTTAATGTAGGGTGAGACAAGTAGTATTTATTCTAAGAAATCAAGTGTGGTAGGTATGGTAGCCAGCCAGAGTACCATACCAGGCCACCCCACCAACACATAATATACGACATTTAAAGCATTCCAGAGCGAAAAAATGTATATGCAGTTCACACATTACTTACCTTAAAATATTTGTAGTATTAATGTAGGGTGAGAGGTGAGTAAACAAGACAAAATGAATAAATGCGAGAGAGGAGAGAGAGAGAAAATGAGTAAATGAGAGGACAGACGCGAAGTATGTAAACAAACAGACGAACGTGCCTGGTTTTGGTTCATACACGTTTGTATTATAACATAATACAGGTCTCCCTCAACATTCGCGAGGGTTAGGGGATCACGAGCCTCGCGAATGTTGAAAAACCGTGAATGTTTGGTGCCCCAATATATTGTAGGGAAATATATTACAATACTGCTTCCTTAACTTGTTGAACCATGAATAATCATAAAATACATGAAAACGTCGTAAATTGTACTAAATATATACATGTTATGCTTTAATAACGTATGTTATTTAATAACATGTATGTTAATAACATGTATGTTATTAAATACCACAGACTCCACCACTGCCTCCACCATTGGGAGTCCCTACTACCCTCCCTCCGACCCCCGCAACTGGCAGCCAGCCCTCCCACCACTCAGTGTGGCGAGTGTTTTGTTTGTTCATTATTTGCTATTAAACTACAGAATAAATAATGTAAACCCATTCATGACTTCATATTGGAGTGGCTATTAGGAAAGGTATTAGACGGTGACATCATGTGTTTACTCTTGAACACAGCAAAGAATCGAACATTTCTGCTATTGCTAATAATAACAATAGTCATAATAATAATAATAATAATAATAATAATAACAATAGTCATAATAATAATAATAATAATAATAATAATAATAATAATAATAATAAATAATAATAATAATAAATAATAATAATAAATAATAATAATAATAATAATAATAATAATAATAATAATAATAATAATAATAATAATAATAATAATAATAATAATTAATAATTACGATATAATTGAAGAAGGAAATTGTACAAAAATACGAGGGAGTGGTTGACACATCGTCAGTGTGACTTTGTTTATGCTGGAGTGAACATTAGTCTCCCTGCTCTTCCAAACATTTCACAATAATTCAGCGGTTGAAGCAGTGGTATTTAATAACATATATGTTATAAATAATAATAGTATATGTTATTATTAATAATATGTATTATTATTAATATGTATGTTATTAAATACCATTGCCTCAATCACTGCCTCTACCACTCCAGTCACACTCAATCTACAAGCACCAAACACAATGAATTATTGTGAAATGTTTGGAAGAGCAGGGAGACTAATGTTCACTCCAGCATAAACAAAGTCACACTGACGATGTGTCAACCACTCCCTCGTATTTTTGTACAATTTCCTTCAATTATATCATATTTATTATTATTATTATTATTACTATTGTTATTATTAGCTGTAGCAGAAATGTTTAATTCTTTGCAGTGTTCAAGAGTAAACACATGATGTCACCGTCTAATACCTGTCCGAATAGCCATTCCAATATGCAGTCAATAATGGGTTTACATTATTTATACTGTAGTTTAATAGCAAATAATGAACAAACAAAACACTCCCCACACTGAGTGGTGGGAGGGCTGGCTGCCAGTTGCGGGGGTCGGAGGGAGGGTAGTAGGGACTCGCAGGTGGCGGGAAACTTAAATATGATTTGGAGGCTGGGAATTTGGTGGCTGGGAATTTGGCGGTTGGGAATTCACGAATGTGTGAAGCCCGTGAAAGTTGAAAACGTGAATGTTGAGGAAGACCTGTACAATTTTTTTTTTTTTTTTTTTTTTTTTTTTTTAACAATTCGGCCGTCTCCCACTGAGGGAGGGTGACCCAAAAAGAAAGAAAATCCCCAAAAAGAAAATACTTTCATCATCATTCAACACTTTCACCTCACTCACACAATCACTGTTTTTGTTGAGGTGCTCCGAACACAACAGCTTAGAAGCATATACGTATAAAGATACACAGCATATCCCTCCAAACTGCCAATATCCCGAACCCCTCCTTTAGAGTGCAGGGATTGTACAAACATGTATTATGTTATAATACGAACATGTATGAACCAAAATCAGACGTGGAGACAACTTGTATACTGTGTACAAGTTGTCTCCATGTTGATACAGTAGAATAAATAAAGAGGAACACTCCCAGTCTCATGTAATGCTATTTTAGAAGAAATGACACTACTCACCTAATTGTGGTTGCAGGGGTTGAGACTCAGCTGAGTGAAGACATACAAAAGGAATAATTTTCTACAGTTACTCCCAGTAATATTGTGTACACATTTTCTTTGGTGTTGAACTACAAACGTTATTCTTTCCAACACTCTGACTGGAGAAACATCTCATATTTATGTTAATTTTTTCTACTGTGGGGTGTATTTATCATGCTTTTATGTTATATATTTTTTTTTATTATCACACTGGCCGATTCCCACCAAGGCAGGGTGGCCCGAAAAAGAAAAACTTTCACCATCATTCACTCCATCACTGTCTTGCCAGAAGGGTGCTTTACACTACAGTTTTTAAACTGCAACATTAACACCCCTCCTTCAGAGTGCAGGCACTGTACTTCCCATCTCCAGGACTCAAGTCCGGCCTGCCGGTTTCCCTGAACCCCTTCATAAATGTTACTTTGCTCACACTCCAACAGCACGTCAAGTATTAAAAATCATTTGTCTCCATTCACTCCTATCAAACACGCTCACGCATGCCTGCTGGAAGTCCAAGCCCCTCGCACACAAAACCTCCTTTACCCCCTCCCTCCAACCTTTCCTAGGCCGACCCCTACCCCGCCTTCCTTCCACTACAGACTGATACACTCTTGAAGTCACTCTGTTTCTCTCCATTCTCCCTACATGTCCGAACCACCTCAACAACCCTTCCTCAGCCC